AGAGCCACACGTGGCTCCGGAGCCATTGGTTGCCGACCCCTGTCCTAAGTAAATAGTCCTGCCAAAAAACACTTGACAGTTTCATTGTGTTGCAAAGTCTGAAGTCAGACCTCTGAAGATCTATAGCTGCTTAAATGACTTGTTACTCTGATAATAAGAGAAAGAACGAAGTTTATCATTAGATTTGTGAAGGATTTAATTACTACAGAATGATCACATGATGACCCATAAACACTGATCAGGTGAACATTACCATGGTTTAATATCTTAAACAGGACAAAGATTTAATCAGTCTTGCAAAAGGTGATAGCATTTCAAATTTGTATCCACCTGACATATCAAACAGAATATAGTCAATTTATGATAAATAGTCTGTGATCAAAGGATAAATGATGCGTCATTCCACATAAATACATATTCACTATATTCACTCAAATGTACCTTTAGTGTGTACACTTGATAAAGTGTGTACACTGATAATTCAATGCTGTACAACAGAGCCTCAAAGGTCAGCCAAAAGCCATGTAAATATCCTTTTTTTTGTACTTGAAGGGGTCAAACCCCTGTTTTATTCTAATGTAAAACTGGAAACACTTTGAGAAACCCTTGACATCTGTATTCTTGTGAATGTCTATTGACTCATATTTTTCAGACTTGCACGTCACTAACAGCAATGCTGTAATCAACAAATATAAAATCCGTCCAAACTTAAGAAAAAACATGCCATATTGTCTGCATCTGGACGCTCATCCTCCTGCTCCACCACAATCCTGGAGGCTCTGTGGGACTCATGTTAAAAATGTACTTTGGTACATTATTTAACATGAAAGAATTTGTCAGGGATGGAACTCGAGGCAGGACTCAGATGCAGAGGGGGGGTTCAAAAATGTTTTATTGAGCCAAAAGCGCACTCGCAAGGAGTGGATTACAAGAAAAAGTTCAAAACAAGGCAGACAAAACTATGAACAAAGTATCAAATAATAATCACTCAAATGAGGCAGGGAATGTACTTTTCAAAATAAGACAGGACATGACCAGACAACAATGGAGACAGGACAAAAACACCAAAAATTCCCCAAGACCTGACCGAATTGGTGGATGGGCTCCAAGTTTCCCTGGGCAAAATGTTTCATTTTCCTTTAGCAAGATATTAATCCCCAAATTGTGAAAGTATGTCTAAAACATCTGGCATTTTCATGTAAAAGTCCAACATGAATGCGATTCACAAATAGTGGTGGGCGACAACGTGTCAGCGACAACCATCCAAAGCTGAGAGCAGCTAACGGGCAGCACGGGTCACTCTGACATCTGAGTACACGACTTCATCTTCATCACCATCTGAAAAAAGTAAACAGATACTCTTTAAATATACTGTATATTAAAGGGTTTATATGGGAATTATTGTATCAAGCAATGATTTAAACCTGGAAGAGTTACAATTTCATGATCATAAAAATATGCTTATAATTGAAATTAGCTTCATCACGTAAAGACACCATCCTCTTACCTATTCTCACAGTTATGGAATTTCTATTTTGATTCTTTTTTTCTAAGTATTTGTTTCTGATGAGCACAGCAAATAGAAATAAAGCAGAAACACTTGATATCACAGCCACAGTGGTCACACCCAGATTCAAGCCAGGACCTAGAAAATAGAACAATCATCACAAATGATTTATTCAAATACTACATAATTATTGATTATATTTATTGATTGTGTCGGACAAATAATTATTGAATTGTTTTCTATTAACATAAATAACATTTAAACCAAAGACATCTATTAAAGTTGAGACCAGACTAAACGTACCACCTGCTCTGCTGTGGTCGTGAAAAAATATCAAATGAGAACAATGTACATACTAGTAGACATTATTTACATAGACAATTAATCTGGTGTTACACTCTAGAAGGCCTTAACAGAAATGAGATTTTTCACAACAAAGTTGAGAATTTCTTCTTTTTATTTGTTGGAACGGACTCAAACATGGTCCCTGTACATTCTTACGGTTCCACTGGTCTAACTGTTAGTTGACATGGAATCATTTGTGTTTTAATGCATAAATGAAATAATAAGTAATACAATTTTGAGAGATTTGCCTTTATTCAGTAATGATCAGTAATTCAACAACTTTGCAAATTTTGTAATTTGCAAAGTTTTTTGTGGAAGTTAGGACTCAACAAAAACAACAACGTCCATCTTCTTTGGCTTTGGGGCTCTGAGTTTGTAGCAGATGAAAATAAGGAACACAGCAAGAAGAAATAATGCAATCAGACTTAATTTCACAGCCAAAGTGACAAGCCAGTTGTGATTATGGGAACCTAGAAAAATATAAAAATTAAATCAAATGAGATACAAATGTTAAAACAGAGCTTGTTAAACAACATGTAGTTGATAAGTATATTTAAACGTACCACCCGCACTGCTTCCACAGCCTGTCACCTGGACGTCTGTCTGCTTCCTGCTGACGTTGTTCTGAACATCACACACCAGCTTTCCTACAAGTTGACCGTGTAGCCTGATGGTTATCTCAGTAAGGCTTTGGCTCTCTGTGCTCTCTGGTCTGCTGTGTATCAGGGTGTTGTTGTCCAAAGACAAAGTTAGGTTCACTTCATCTCCCTCAGCTGAGCAGCTGACTGTCATCTGTTCTGCTGACAAACACCTGTGAGACACAGCTGGTTGTGTCACTGCAGCTGGAAGTACAAACACAAAGTTACACGTTAGCTATCTAACAAGAAAATGTACATTTCTGGACTTCTAGATAGGTAAGGTTTTGCTGCAGTGCAGATGTATGTCCATCCATCCATCCATCCATCCATCCATCCATCCATCCATCCATCCATCCATC